AAAGAAAGAGGAGAAAGTATTTGTTGAATACTCCCTGGGCCCTCTGCTTCTCCCCACATTGCCTGGTCAGGGAAGGCTAGGGTGACCATCCCCATTTTTCAAGAAGTCACGTTTGGAGAGGTCAATACCTTATCTTTGGTCACAGCTATCTGGAAGCAAAGCCAGCATCTAAATGCAGGTCTAGCCAGGTGTAGTGGTGCACGCCCATAATCTCAACACTGGGGAGGCTGAGGCAGGAGAATCACCTCGACTTTGAGGCCAACCTGGGTTACATAGAGAGTTCAAGGGCAGCCTGAAATACGTAGTGAGACCCTGTCTCAAAAACCAAAATAAATAAATAAATTAATTAATTAATAATAATAAATTCAGATCTGGCCTGAATGCCCTTCCGCCTGTCACAGACCCCAGACTTGTTTCTCGTTCCTTTGCTTTCGCATGGGACTCCAGTCCCATTCAGGTTCTTACCTACTACTTGGACTGATTTCCTGCTAATCCCTTCCTCCCATAGTAAGCAAGACGACCCAGGCCATCGCTGGTTCCTGGGGTGGTTTTTCTTCTCAGACACTCCTTCTCCTTGGGGGCTATTTTTAGTCTCTTAATCACTGCAAGATTCCGTCCTCTTTTGGTGAAAAAATCTTTGCACGCTCACGCCCAGCAAGTGTGGGAAAGTCGGGTGTCCATCCTCCGGTATGAAAGAAGAGATGGCCTGGCCCACGTGGCTCCTCGTGCAGCGGGTGTTCTGTCCCTCGCAGCAGACCCGCCGAGGGGAGAGCTCCCAGACGCCTCTCACACCTTCCACGCATGGCTCCAGAGCAGTGGGGCTCTGCATTTTTTTTTTGATCTCTGTTCTTAGAAATAGTAATTGAGTAAAAATGTAAGTGAGCGGATGCCAGGGGGCAAGTGTCCAGGGTCAGGGTGAATTTCTCCACACTGAGAGTGATTCTGAGCGCTCGTTAAGTGGGGTGGCCTGTGCCAAGCAGCTCGAGGGCCACCCCGTCACCTTGCGTGAACCACCTCTCCATTCCAAGGAGATGCTGGGAGCGGCCCAAGGTGGCCTGGGGCCTGTGGCGCCTCTTGCTTTCTGCACCTTTTAGCCTGAACGCTGCTGGTCAGTGCGCGTCCTTGCGCTGGCGAGGGGCTCACCGCTCTAATGCCCCATCAGCTTCAGTGCAATACCCTGAAGATGAGCTATCCCTGCTCACAGAGCCTGTCGCTGCAGAGTCTTTGTTCTCTTTCTAAGTTCAGAATCCCCCCAAATTTCAGCTAAGGTGAGCTAAACCTGCCCAAAGGTTTCCTTGCAAGATAAAAGAATCCAGGGCATAAGGAACAGACAGTCTCTGTGAATGATTAACAGTCATGAAGATGAATTCAAACATTTAAAGTATTTACTGCATAAGAAGCTTGTAAGTAGCTGGGCTGAGATTTGAAGATGGTGTTTAGCTGGGGATTTAGCTCAGCGGCAAAGCGCCTGCCTGGCAAGCACTAGGTCGTGAGCTCGGTTCCCGGTACCGGAGAAAAACAAACAAACAAAAAAAAACTTAATTGAAGATGGTGTTTAAAGTGTGGCCTGCACATACATCTCCTGAAGTGTCCTCCAATGCAGATTCCCCGGCCCTGTCTCAGACCAGCAGAGTCAGAGCTCCTGACGGGGAGCTTCCGTGTTTGCAGTCTGCACAAGCACTGCAGGTGCTGCAACCTCACCGGCCTCTGCACCTGTCGGATGCTCTGTTACGCGGTCTGGTTACTCACAAGCATCCTGTCCAGAAGGACTCGGATCCACCCATCCCTGGGATGTGGGACCCCAAATCCAAGCCTCAGTGGAGTTTTGCCGTGTGCTTTCCATTCTCCCGAGTGCCTACAAACACCACACCAGCCCCTGCTCGCTGTTCCCTGCAGGGAGGACAGTGAGTGTTCAGAGAGGCCCAGGAGTCATGTGGGGTAGGTGGCACATACCCAGCCTGGAAGTGTGTATGGCAGTGTATTCCTTCACTCAGGTGTGGTCCGCTGGGCGATGATGAAGAGGGAGGGGAATTTTGAAGCCAATGTGTACTGCATACACAATGCATATCGTATCATGTGTGTGTTAATGGAGAGTTCCCTGGCGTGGTGTTTGATCAGAGCCCTGCCGTCCTCCTGTGACCCGAATCCCATTCTGTCACATTCCATAGGTTAGGATCTAGCCAGCAGTGGAATGTAAACTCTACTATCTCGGCCAAACTCAGCCTTGGGTAACTACAGTTTTAGAGCAGGTGGGAATCTGACCAAACTATGAAAAAGTGATGTTAATGATAAATTACCTATTATTTGATTTGTGCAACCCGATGCCTCCTGGTACTCTGATGTGACTTTTGAATCACCCCGTGTTTCGACTACAACCATACCCTGTGAATATTCTAAAACTACTGTAACTTTGGTGATCATCGTACTGTGTAGAGAAATATTTGTCTTATACGAGCTGCATCACTAATTAGCTTATGTGGCCCTTGAGGTATGGGAGGAATGATACACTATATAGAGTTAACTTTACTTCGCAACAAGATTTTAATGAAGATATCTCTATACTGACCACAGTTACAGATGCAGTTCTGAAGTCAGTGTTCAATGCATGTACCAGTTCTGGGAAGACAACGGTAAAGAATGAACATCCATACGATACACTAGTTTAGTCAGTCTTATTTCTGTCTGTATCGCTACTGGCCACTAGTGATATGACCAGTCAACAGGACAGCAAAAATCGTTGCGTTTGGGAAGCTTACATTCTGGTGGAGGAAGGTAGACAGCTCATAATAAGGACTAATTAAAAATGGTAGAATTTGATAAATGTTATGGGGGAGCAAGTAGAATAAATTTAGGGGGATGGACAGGTGAGTCATCAGGGCAAGCAGGGTTCTTCAAGATGGTGGAAGTTAAGCAGACACTTGAAGGAGATTCAAGAGTAATATGGGGCCAGATTATCTGGGGTAGAATGTTTCTGGCAGAGGAAATAGGTAGGCTGTTCCTAGCATATTCCACAGTTATCAAAAATATCCTAGGAGATGAGACTTGAAAGACAACGAGAAGCCGGGCATGGTGGCGCATGCCTGTAATCCCAGCACTCGGAAGGCTGAGGCAGGAGGATTGCCACAAGTTTGAGGCCAGCCTGGGCTACAAAGCGAATTCA